AATCGATGCGTCGTCGCTCGTTTGAACCGGCCTGACCTTACTTAACCCAAATCTCCGCGGAATCGGCCGGTTTCAGGTCGAACGTCCCCCCAGACCTGACCTCCCTTAACCCGATTCTTCTAGAATACGGTAACGAACCCGCACGCGAAACACGTCGAAGCGGAAATCCTACGACAAGGCCCGTTATCCGTGGTATTTGAATTGAATAACGATCGCCTTTAAATTCGAATCTAGGCGACCGTGGCTACGATCTCGCGCGTGCGCCTTGTGACTTTCATGTACACACGGTTACGTGTACCGACGTAGGAGAAGCCGAGTGGCTAAGCCACGTTCGCGGAACGGCGTGTTCACCTGTCGCTGGTAGAGCGGAATCCTCATTGGGATTCCGCCATGCGGTCTTTTTCTGTTATAGAAGAGCCGAGAGAGGGACCATTGTTCTCGACATCGTAAATTATTGCCACCGGTCGCGAATCGAGGCAGAGCTTTAAAAACCGTGCATAAATCATCCTGCTATTAGAAGGTGAGGCTGGGACCGTCGTTGTTTAGTGCTTGGCCCATTATATGGATAATATCGGTGTAGGGTTTCAGCGGAGCAAATGGGGCAGATTCGTGTAACCGGAGAAGGAATTTCGGAATTGGGTGTACGCCAGATGGAATTTTAGTTATGACGAGGAAATTGTGGGAAATCTGTGCGGGAATTCGGTATGCGATGCGCCGGCATATCGGTTGGAGTAGAGCGAGGAGAATTTGCTTTTTAAATTCTACAGATTAGAGCCTGAATATCGAGGCCTTTTCAAACATTACGAACAATTATAAAGGACAGTATTTTGATATCGTTAAATGGGAACATATATAATGCAAGAAGATAAAACATTCCTGTGGACGATTATAGATTGATTGTAGTTGTTACTTTTCTATCAACCTATCCAAAGAGATACAAACGCGAGGAAGAAGCGAAGAGAGAACAGCAGAGTGAAATACGTCAAACTTAATCCCAACAAAGAGCGTGAAACGGCGAGCAAAAAAAAAACCAGAGACCGATCGTCGTGATCGTCCCATTGCAACCTCTAATCGTTTGAAAATCGCGGTAATCGATCGATGACTTCTCTGTTGAACAATGAACTCGAGTTTCCCCGGGGAGAAACGTTCGCGATAGAATCAGCGACGACTTCATCAAGAACAGAGGTGCTCTGTTTGTGTCGGCGAATTCCAGGACGAGGAACGTACGAGCAGAAAGCTAGGCTAAATGAAAAGCAGCGTATCGCGAGACGCGGAGTTTGTCCAGCAAGCAAATGATTCATCGTGACTTTCACAATGAACGCGACGCGAGACCAGCCAAGGGGAGAAAGGAAAGAAGGAGCGAGGAGGACGAAGGAAGAAAAAGCGTGTTCTGCGCGCTTTGGCCCGCGAACGTCTCGCGGTGCTGAAATAGTCGATGTTTACAGGCGTCGACGGAAGATAAATATAAAAGGCGCCGATGCCATGCGCCGTCGCGAAAAAATGTAAAAGGAAACACAAGCACGGGGAACGCGTTTACCCTAACCGTTGCGAGATGTTTCTATGCAAGACGAAACAGACTTTCGAGTAGAATGTGGACTTCTGTTGGTCGTCGTTGGTCCTCGACGCTGATCGACAACGATGTTCGATCATCGGTGTCGATGACTACTAACCTAGACGACTTCGACAACCGCGTCGATGTGTTTCGTTCTTTTCGTGCTTCTTTGGAGGATGGCGAGTAAATTGGGGTTCGGAGTGATTAACCTTGGGATTTGGAATGTTATTTGGGATTAAAAAAGTTAAGAGTCGAGTGGCGGTCTCGTTGCATCCGACGATAACACGGTGTCATTACGTGTCTGTTTTTATCAGAAGTCAATATTGATCACGTATCAGAGTTGAAGTGAATATATGCGTATGTACGTATAGGTTAAACGATAACGAAAACGACACGATCTATATCGTATTCGAGTCAAATAAGAAGATCACGCTGTATATATAGAGCTCGTGCTTCATGTGTTATATTAATTCAAACAAATTAATCCTTTCTCGCGAACTACGGATGTTTATGTATCGTATTATACGTTGATTAATTTAAACTTCCTGTAAGTATTACGCTCTAATATTTATTACTTACGTAATATATAATGTAAAAATTTGAGGAATATACATGACGTTCGATAACATACAATGTATAAATAAAACAAAAAATTGAATATAAACTCGCGTATTTACCCCGATTTATTTATAACCCTTCTTCCCCATCTTCAACCCCTTCAAACCTATCGAATACAATTTATTTCAAACCTATGTCATTTTCTACGAAACACCCTTTAACTAGAACGAGACTGTCTAAAAAATGTTGGCAAATTCACGGTGGAATTTGACAAAAACCGCGACGCTGGCGAGACAGCAACATAAAACAGAAATCAAAGACCGACGATCCCGTTGTAACCGTGGATAATTTACAACCGACCACGAGACTGGGCATAATTCACGCGGGCAAATCAGTCTGTCAAATAAACGTACGGCCGTAAATGTACATTTTCACCGCGCTCGCGTCCGAGTGAGATTTTAACGCCAATCTATGTCGTGTATCCATCAATAATCCCGCGGGATCATTAGGCGCTGACTTCTTTCTGCCGTCGATCGCAGACGAAAAATATTTTCGTGATAATTTGCGATCGGCGAGGTACGTTCGTTAAACTCTATGTCCAACTTCCGAGATATCGAAGTACGAGCTTTTCTCTCTCCCTCTCTCTCATTTGCCGTATTAGAGAAATTTCCAGCTTTTTTCGTGATTAGTGAAAACGTTAACGAGTTAAGTGAATTGAATCGTGGAATTTGAAACGGAAAATTTGTAATCGTAAAGTAAAGACAAAATACGTAGCTTTTACTTTGGTTTTGATATTAGCGCCAAGAATTTTGCTAGGCATGGAATAGCTTTTTGGGGAAGTTCTAAATTTTGCATTGTTATGTGGTATGTGAGAGAGAGGAACTGAATATTTATTTAGAATAGCAGTGTAATCTTGTTTGAAGACTTAAATAAATATTAGCTATTCGCTCAGTTTGATGTAAAATATTGAACTATTGTACATAATTTGTGTTTAGTGAACCTCATTCGCGTATTGCAAAGCTACAGTTCGCGTTAAATTTCAGTAAAAATATATTATTTATAACCCAAACATTAATACGTAATAACGATTCATTTAAATCACAATAATGAAGCTTCCATAAAAATGTAAAATTATTTCGATATTTTACATTTACGCAAGTTACATCTATTGTCATATCGAATCATATTATGTAAGAACTGACTTCATTCACAGAATCCTACGCTATGCTAAACACAAGCTCCTCGAACAAACAAAAATTCGTCGAACTGCTCTGAAAGTGGAACGAACGTTTAAAAACGACAAAGAACTTACCTCGCACCTGGAAGTGTCCAGTATCTCCACCTCGGTACTAACGTTATCGATGGTAACGCTGTGCCGGTACAGGAAATCTGTAACAGAGAGAACGAGATTACGCTGACTCGCCTTGATGAATGATAGCACCGGGGCGTTTCTGAATATCCGTATCGCCGCGTTTCGTCTACAGGGTTAGCGAGAGGATTCTAAACCCAGGGAAGACGTACGAGCTCGTTCGCCACGAATAATGAAATCGATCCGTCAGTCCTCTTCGAGGATCGAAAGAGAGAAAGAGAGAGAGAGGAAGAAACTTTACGCTGGTTAGCGAAGGAGTAATCGTCGGATCTAGCCTAGCGTCCTTGGTCGGTTGATCTATGAAACGATAAATGAAACTGAACACCAGGAGAAAGAGAGATCGATCTTGAGTGGCACTAGACCCTGGTATTAATGCTAGTGAGAACCGAGAAGTTGCCGGACTAAATCCCTGTTAATTCTTGAAATCGTTCCTGTTTCATCTTCGATCCTCGTTCTCCGGCTGAGCCAGGTGGTGATTTACGTCTGTTATTTGTTCGCTGTCCTCAAGCGCCATAGACAGAACTTTCTAGCAAACTGATCGACCAAATGGAGGAAATTGAAAATCGCGATTAATCAGGGACAGGTAAAAAACCAGGTGAGACACGCAGGCAAGCGTTTCGAGATCGACCGCGAGGATATCTGGAACGATAGGCTGGTAGCCGGATTTGTGCTTCGTTAAAACTTTGAACTTAAAATTTGATACTACGACTATCAGAATGTAGGGTAAGTAGTTTAGTAATTGGAAGTTTTATGTTGGTCTGCGCGAGTGGTTTAGTAGTTTGGAGCTATTTGAACGTAAAATAAGTAGTTTAAGAAACCGTTAACGCGCTTGTGCAGTACACTGTTGTTCCATTAGAAACACAAGAGCTTAATGTCTTTTATTATATGATGCTATTAGTACGCATTTAATAGGTATCATCAGACAGGATGTTAAGATAATCGTACCTTAACGAAATATTCACACCAATAAAGTATATAAATGAAATTCATATAATAATTCTCGTAAAAAGTTTTCATCAAATTCTAAAGATCACAGAAATGTTATAAGTTACCAATAGAACAGTTAACATCTAAATGTGATTCCATGTGAAAGTTTGACGAAAAAAACCGACGAAATTTATAAAACATTCTAAAACATCGTTATGATTGCGATTGAGAAAGAGAATTCGAAGACGATCTGTTTAATATTTTGTCCATGTTTCTTCTATATTTTAGCTCATTTCTTCTATCTTCGAGGTATCTCTTTGCATCTCTACAGATGTTATTCTAACTACACAAATAGAGAAAATCGGGATTGATGATTAATTCAAAGCGAGATAAGAAACTCGACTTTAGGTAGAAGAATCCCACGCGCTCGTTAGCCGAACTACGTTGTTCTTACATGCAGCAACTGTGAATATCGAACAGAGATTTTCCCGCGAATAGAAAACGCGGCTAATGCGCGAAAGTCTCGGACCAGTTACTAACGACAATTCCGATTTGACGCGCTGACGCCGGGCGTCGCGCCGCTCTGTCATTACGCCGCTCACTGACAATGACGCGTTGACTTTCGCCATCGAGTCACGATGCAAGTCCTTAACATCCTTCGAAAAATCCATTTTCAAATCGTGATACTCGTTAAGCAGAATCTATTTATACGATAAGTGTCTTCAATGATGCAACTGAATAGTTAATTAACTGATAATTACGGTATCTGTCTTATTTATAATTGTAAAATGGCTAACTGATAACTGTAACTAGCTTCTTTTTGATATTATTCTAATATTATTGTGGATTGTTCCGAGTCCTTTCGCGGGCTTAAATTTTCGTGAAAAAACCAAAATTCAATATAAAGTGTATCAACAAACTCTGTTCTTACGATTTGTTTCACGATTTAACATTGTTAATTTCAATTATTTATTTTCGAAAATCGCTAGTTGTAAGATACCATCGTAAGAAACTTGAATGTTAAAATAATGTTTAGTTTCAGGAATTCAGATGAGATTTAATAATACTTGGTCGTAATTTTAATTTTCATAATCTTTATGCACCGTAATTTATAATTCCACCAGTCAAAATATGAAAAATGTCTACTACCCACTACAAGCAGTTCTACTAAATATCAAACTAAACTTCCTTTTATTTCTACAAAAAAGAAAAGAAAAAAAAGCTTCAACTTCAGCAGGAAACCTTCTGACATACGGCTCTGCGTATATAGAACCTTTAAACGAAATTAATAAATTAATATTCGCTACGAGAGAAGGAAACGTGTATTTGCTCGCGAAAGAAACGCGAGGCTGCGCCGAGCACAGTAGCTCTGGCAAGGCGGATACAATAAATAAACGATAAACGAACTCATAAACACCTCGTTGGGAACGATGTCGAAACATTGAACGCGCGGAAACAAGCAAATAAGGATGCTCGTTGCATTAGCGGCCGTTACGCTCGAGAAAGTTTTATTGCCGGACAATGCTGATAGGGAAGCGATTTGACCCAAGTGGAGCGGTGGAGAATTTATTGCCATCGCGCAAAAAAATGTTCACGGGATGCCAGACCGAAGACTTTCAGTAATCGAGACTCTTTAAAACGATATCACATAGAGATTCGTGCGATTGCCTCGCTCGCTTAAACATCATTCGCGTATCGATGAATCGGATAAATTTTCTTCCTAATACACGGTTACTAGACGTCAATTGCTGCAGCGTTAGGTCAAACGATAATAAAGAAGGGACGTTGAAACATTATAAATGGATATTATTAGGAAGATGTAATCTCTTTTTAATCTTTTTAATCGTAACCTTAATTAATTCTAATTTTTTATGCCTTGATGGTACATTCAAGCGTATCATTTGTATTAGAATGTTAACATGAGTGGAGTATATTTAGAGCACCTAGACGTGCAGATAAATTGGTTAAAAAAGGTATTTGTACGTACCATTACTCTGCAATGAAACGTTTCTTATCAGGTGCCGCATTTCATTTTGGCAGCATCAAATTCTTGTACAGAAAAACTTGGTTTATCCACGCCACGTTTATACGAACAACTTAAATTATTTAGCATGTGCCAAATTAGACGAACAAGATATTATTCAGTTATGTCAACTCACTACTGCGCCTCTGTTAGCCAAACTACGCTTCAACATACTTTCAGTTGTACTGTTATACGAACGCTTATTCCGAACTCGTACGCGTTCGATACGCAACTGAGTGTTTGGACCGAAATTGTTGTTCGACCTCAGGTGTCCGATAGTCGGTTCCTATTATCGGAATTAATAGGAGCAGTTGGTGGGGATAGCTATTATTATTGGAGTTCGTCGAGCATGTTCGCAAAAACAAAGCTCTAGTGTAAACATACGAAAGTACCAAATGATTTGAAATTTAATATACCTGTACCTTAATTTATTTGTATATACAAGTTATAACAGAACATGCGAGGCCCGCTTCTAGAGTTGAACGATAAAAAAAATTCGTATAAAATATATATTCAATCTGGCTTCATTTATGAGTATATTAAGATTTACAATTGAACAAGATTTCAACAAATTTGTTAAACATCAAGAACCATCCAGAATGTAACCGAATCCATGACAAGACGTTTACAGACTCTCCTTGAGACGCAACATGGTCATTTTTAGCATCTCCCGTGCAGGTAATTAGACAAGACAAAATCAAAACAGGACATTCGTTATATCTCATAAACGAAGATGGATAGAATAAATATCTGTATGTACTTCTCTCATTATTTTTAAGTTGCACAATCAGCTCAGACCCAAAGTAGGTCCAGAGTGTTCTGTTACAACTTGTATAAATGTTATAAAAAAATTTTTGCAATCTCAGAAATGCATGTAAAGACATCTAAAATATTCCATATTAATAGGTGAAACCATCTCCTACCTAGATTCTATTTTTATTTATCTTCATAAAGATATGGATAAAAATAATAAATACGTAAACGAAAGGAATGATAAATATGAATAAAAATATGCATAAATATCCACGGCCCGCTCATAAAAATCTAGATCTGTATAAAGATGCCCGCTCTACTCGCCACAAAAATCCCACGATCGAATTGGATAACATACAAAGATTCTTTTATCCGCGGAAAAATCGCATCCGGCGATCGAATCGGCCGGTAGTCGCGTGCGATCGTAGATTTTCTGCTGGCGCGGGCGCGCGTCACGCGTGAGACGAATCGAAAATACGCCTGGTGATTCCCGCGGTCCCTTTCGCGTGCACTTTCGTTCGTGCACGCTTGAAGATCACTTTTCCGAAGAAACGCCCTCGAACGGTGAAAGCTGCGCGTGGGTCAGTCGATTATTTCCTCGAGGGCGCCGCGTGTGGGTGATGACGCGACGAAAAAAAATCGCCAGGCTTTAATAGAAACTTAATTTCGCGTCTGCCAATCGCGTCTTCCGCGTCTATCGGGTGAAACGTGGCGAATTGCCGGCACCAGACGGTGCGTATTATCAGTTTCACCGGAGTCGAGGCTTATCAGGCTTCTCTTTAGCCGTTTCATTGTTGGTGTTCCAGCTGATCTTTGCGTGGAGAATTACGTGCTTGTTAGGCTCGTTAGATAGTAAAATTGTTTCTGTACGAGGAGAGAAATAAGAGGAATATTTCTGGTGATATAAGAGATTATCTTTGTAAGTTGGATCTAATATTTGAAAAATTTATCTGAAACGTAATAGCTTTTGTCCGTGATCTTTTGATTATAATTTTAAGTTCAGTATTTTTTACGTGTGATAATTTCTAATTTTAAGAAACTTCACAAAAGTTTCGTACAGATCGTAATAAGTTTCATTAAATGGTCAATTAACTTACATAATTCAGTAAGAAAAGTTTTTAGAGTATACGTCTTTTGGGAACAAAATTAATATTCGTTGATGAAAATTCGATAGAAATTCGAAGGATTTTTGTAATAATGTAAAACGTTATATTTCTAAATTTATCTCATATACATTTATGAAAAATATAAAAAGGAATAGATGATGAAGTAGAGAAAGAAACAAGTTAAAATATGAGCGAAAAGTGTATTTTAATT